ATAATGGTTTTTTAGTTTCTTTTGATATTATTATTCATTCCTGAAATTGTTTTCAAGTTAAACTATGTCCATTTGAAAACTACATAAATATTCTTCTGTAACACATCATTGTTAAGTACATGTGTTAAAATGTACTTACAATTTTCTTGAACATAATCTAGAAAAACAAACAAGAGCCTTGGCTTATCTGTTGCAGTAATTCACTGAAATCTTGTTTGCTCTGAAGGACGTGTAAGCATGTTATATGATAAAGAAATCAAGTTATTCTTGTCCAGTTAAGTAAAAGAGGATTGTGGAAGTTGAAAAACATAAAACAAAATAGAAATGAAAAAAATAAACTTCATTTGAGAACTGATCAATGCAAAAATTTAGACTGAAATTCTATGTCATGAAGATGTTCACACTTTTCAAGGTAATTCTCTTACAACAAATCTTGATAATGGGGATGAGACAAACCATTTTCTCTTTAAGATACCACTTTCTACAACACCAATCTCAGTTTACATATTACATACGAAAAAGAAGCAGATAATTTTTGAAGTATAGGACACAACCTCAGTAACTCAACAACAATGTAAGTGAACTCTACATGGATTGTCTGGTGACATAACTAGAGAAAAATAGTTTGGCTTGTCAACTGAATTCTAAAGCAACTGAATAGGACTAAGTGGACTTTGACAACAAGAAGAAAACTATATAGTGTATAAGATATAACTATGACCTCCATAGTGTAAGGAATTTTTTGTACATATTATTTTGAAAACAAGTGCATGCTGTTCGTTTATTTTTTTGAATTGATCACCAAGTCACAGACACCTACTGTAGAAGAATCCTTAGCCCAATACACCCATATGTTTACTTACTGTATATATACAAACTAAAAAGCAAGTACCTGATATGATTAACCATCTAAATTGTCCCCTCCAACCCTTGTACAAAAAAAAGTGTAGTATAATAATTTTTTAAAACTTTTTCAGCAACTGCATTTTTCTCACATAATATTAATCTTCCAAATTCCTTTCACTTTGTTTTGTGCTTTTTATGTAATTTTTGAATTACCTGTGATTTCACATAATAATCCTCTACTGAAGGTCACCTAATAGTGTATCTTCCTTAAATTTCCGCTGTTAAACCAACAGTTGATTTAACTCTTTCAACCCAGGATCGGTCCTTGGGACCAGCCTCGTAACCATTTTGTGCTCATTATAGGTTTCATGCTATGACTTTTAAATTAGTAAGCAAATGTTAACAAAATTTGACAGTTTATCTGTAAACATTACAATGCTTTCATATGCAAAATATCTAATTTTTTTATTAAGTCTTAAGGTTTTTAAAGCAATGTTTCTCTAATGCCTTTTTCTTTTCACATCTTACTTATCTATCATGGAAAGTAATTTTCATCTTAACATTAAAAATATTTCTATGCATCAGAAAATTTCGAAATTTCACATGCACAATCTTTATAATGTCCAAATAGTTATCAAACGTTTCTTAAGAAAAACTTTATATTTATCTGTTATTTTCAGTAATTAATCTCTGTACGGGTTCAGTAACTTTGACCGATCTCGCAACTACCATAAAAATGAGAAAATAAACAAATTATACATCATTCATTCTAGAATGAACACAAATTATAACACAAAAACATAAATGTTTAGACAAAATAGCTTAAATCTCATAAGATTATACATTAATATATATATATATATATTTTATATTGACCTTTCACCTGTGCCTGGCTAACAATACAGAAGTTACAACATGGCTCATGTACTCTCATGTTACGGTATCAAATAACATACACATGACCTTTGGTCTGTACAAAGTAACTTGTCTTGGCTGTGTTTTAGTTGACCAGTATTTTGTAAAATACAGTCAGATTTCAATTATTATACATTATATATGTATATAG